CCAACTATTCTCTGCTTCAACAACTTTATTTCTGTTTCGTTAACTTCAACACTTAATATCTGTAACATAAATAATTTGTTAAAGCAGAGAATAGTTGATATAAGAAAAGTAAATATTTATGTGTACTGCTTTTCATATACCAACTATTCTCTGCTTTAACAATTTTATTTCTGTTTCGTTAACTTAAACGCTTAATATTTGTAACAGAAATAATTTGTTAAAGCAGAGAATAGTTGGTGTATGAAAAGTACATATTTACATGTTACAGTTTCTGTGATTTCTGTTACAGTTATTAAGCGTTTAAGTTAACAAAACATAAATAATTTGTTAAAGCAGAGAATAGTTGGTATGTGAAAAGTACACATAAATATGTACTTACCAAGCAGACAGTTGTCACGTGACCTTCTTTTGCATGCGCGTGCGGCTACGGAGCATGCGCATGTGGCCGCAGGGCATGGTCGTAGTCGCTGCATCTCGTCGGTATGACAGGAATCATAACCTGATTCCTGTCAACTTTAACCGTTAATATCTCGCTTCGCGGGGCAGAGCGACACTTTTTTCTGCCAGATTCGGTCGTTTCGTGCAAAAACGCATCGATTAAGCCCAAGTTGAACGAAATCGGTGAGGAGGCCACTATTCTTCAGATTTACCGAGATAAATTCTAGGGCCAAAATATAAACCAGAGTAACAAGAATAAGAGCAATTCCAAGATCTCAAGACGAGATTAACCTTGCAGAGCTCCTTGTACTACTACGAACAATGTCGATCTTCCAATATGGCGTCCCAAATGAGAATATCGGAAGGGCCCTGCTCGCTGGATCGGACTCCTCGCCTCAATTCTCCCTCTCGGGCGCGAGCTGCCGCAGCTCTCCTTTTCCTGGCGGTGAGCTCTCCTTGGGAAGTCGAATCTCGCTCGGTTGGTCTCCAGAATATGTGCCGCTTAGCTCAATCAGTTACGAAAGAAGGAAAACGTACTCGTCTCGTCCGAAGAAACGCAGCAAGAGCGGCCATGACACTGAACTGACTGAACGAGAGCGAGCCGAGCGAGGAAGGAGTGGGGGCGCTTTGAAAGTGGCGACTCACGCGTCGCGCCATCTACATCTGAATGAAACGATCGGGCGTTTGCAAAACGTGAAGGAATTTGAGCGCAATATCTGAAGTAAATATTAAATTAATATTAAATAAATGTTAAATAAATGTTTCTTTAAATCATTATTGCAAATAAATAATTGAAAAAACATAATGAATTGAAAAAACATTTATTTAACATTTATTCGACAGTAATGTAAAATAAATATTACATTACTGTCGAATAAATGTTAAATAAATGTTTTTTCAATTCATTATGGCAAATAAATAGTTAATGTAAAATAAATATTAAAATAATGTCGAATAAATGTTAAATAAATGTTTTTTTAACTTATTGCAAATAACTTACTAATGTAAAACAAATATTAAATAAACGTTAAATAAACGTTTAATAAATATTTTTTCTAAATTATTACTTCAAATAAATAATCAATGTGAAATAAATATTTAATAAACATTAAATAAATATTATTTTTACAATGAATTGTACAAATGTATAATTAATAAAAAATAAATATTAAAAACACATTTAAAAAACATTGTCTGCTGATTGGGCAAGAGCTTGAATAAATAAATACCAGTCCATATTCAATTATCGTAAATTTAGTAATATGTAAATATATGAAGATAAGTAATTATAAGAAGTAATAACAAAAAGAAAGATGTTTTGTAATAGTTTTGTATATATTTAAAATTTCCTACCTTTAGTTGCACATATACGCATGCGTACTCATACATACACACATTCTTTTAATTTTATTTTGAATTATTTTAATAAATAAAGAAAAAAGAGAGAAAGAAGGAAAAAATAATATAGAAAAATACAATTTTATATAAATAATTATTTATACGTTATATATAAAATAATTTTTTTTAGTTATCAATAATAAAACTATTATTATTAACCTAATAAAATTCCTTTTAATTTTGTTTATACTATTTTTGATTAAATTAATAAATAGAGAGAACCGTTATTATAAACATTTATTATAAACGTTATTATAAACGTTTAATAAATCATATATAATATTTAATCGAAAATATAATAAACCTATAATAATAAAAATAAACTAAATGCAATAAATAAATTAAGAAAACGTTAGGAACGTTAGGAACATTAAAGTAGGAGCATGATTTCTTTTCAAACAGAATTGTCAGATTCTAAATAGGAGCCAGAGGTTGAAGAGGTTCAAAATAGGGTGATGTGACTGCTTATAGTATCAAAGTAGGTGTTAGGTCGAATATTTTGGTCCAAAGTAGGTGTTATATTGAACATTGAGGTCGAAAATAGGAGAAAAATTTCGACTCGGTACGCCATTTCTTAAACGTCCATAAAATTATTTTGTACAATTTACATAAACAATGTTGTAATATTTTTTAGGATTAAAATCTAAATTGATCGAATTTTATAAGTGCGCACTCAAAACAGCGCTATTAATCGCTTTGACGTTGAATCAACCTTGAATCGACACTGGACATGATCGATATTGCAGGAATATCGACTTTCTTATCGACTCAACCAGCTGTCAACCATATCGACGTTGAATTAACCTTGAATCAAGGTTACATTTCTGACTGGGTACACATTTATTTGTTGTTATTTTGGTTCTTCTCGACAAAACTATGGAGATTCCGCAATAAGTTATGTTTGTGTAAAAAGAGAAAATTTAATATGTACAGTTAAAGCCAAAGTTTGTCCTGAACACCGAATTTGAAATAAAGTATATTTTGTTATTGTAATAGTTAATGAAGAAAATGAATCAATTAGTAATGTGGAATGTCAGGATTATGCTGTTTCAAGTAGTAGGCTTGATCTATAAATCTATGATTTTGTATATAAGTTTACTTAATGTGTATTATAACAAATATTAATTAACTTATATAATTTATTTTACTATAGATGGTTGCAAGCACCCAATAGCTTTTGTGATGTGGATTTACAGGCGTACTGAAAATCCATCTCCTACAGATGTACAATGCTACTGGAAAAAACCTGTATTAGCAAATGTTGGAACAGTGAGACAATTTATCGAAGCCAAAGATTTTGGGGAGACATCTCTACTATTTCATCTGAGCCTCAAGACGTACCATCTAATGAATATCCTTATTTTCTGATGACTATCCTTGACATCGCTAATAAGAAAAACTTAGATAGTCAGTTATCAAGGCACCATTATGTTATATCCGAAAGACGTGTAATCTTAATATCATTACATTCCATAATGGTTGATTTTGTAAAAGAAGGAAAATCTTTAGCTTCGATAAATTGTCTCGGTGTTCCAATATTTGCTAATACAGCCCAGCAAACGCAAAAGGATTAAAAGATATTGAAATTTTTTAATACTTTTGAATCCCTTTTTTGGCGGAATTAGATGAAATTAGATGGGATTCGAAATGAGATGGTCCAATCCCATGGAATCCAAAAAAGAAAAATTTCAATTCCATCCAATCCTATGGAATCCGTAAAGGTTATGAAATTGCATGGCATTAGATGGTTTAGAAAACGTCTCGCGCCTCCGTTGGGCGACCAAGCGCCGTTGTTCGTCGGTGAGCTTTTGTGTATGCCTAAGGGCATTACACGCACTACTGCCGACGGGCAATTAGCCCGAAAATGAGATTTGTAAGATCTGTCAGGCACCGTAGGGGGTCCCTTTACATAGCGGTCCAGACGAAACTTTGAACTCGAGAAGATGCCCCGGGGATGCGACGCCTAGCAGCGTCGACGCGAACTGCCGGTAATGCAGATACCGCGCGGGCGTGTACTATTGGTGGCGCGTACCGCCACAGAGTTCAACACGGACACTTTTTAATCCCTATCCTGGCATTCAATGGTATTCATTTTATTGTCAGAATAGACGGAATTCAATGGAATTCAATACGGAAATTTTTAATTCCTAGTTTGGCGTTCAATGGTATTCATTTCGTTAATGGAATCAATGGTATTCAATGGAATTCATCACGAAACTTTCCAATCCCTAACCTGGCATTCAGTGGTAT